GGGGGAGTGGGAGGTGCATCGGGGGCAGCGGGGCTGGCCAGGGAAAATTGTGAGGAGAAGTGGGGGAGAACCAGCCAGCCGGGAGGAGGTCAGGGGGAGTGTGAATCAGCCGGCGGGGAGCGGGACTGACCCGGGCATGTGCAGATCCCAGGGCGCTGCCTGTCCCGCGCACAGTCCCAGCAGAGCGCACGACCGAGTCCGGTCCTGGGGATTCCAGCCTGCCCCCTTCCTCTCTACTGCGTAGCTGTGTACTGCCTGGCTGGTAGACACACTCACACAGTGCGCAACTACGTACTGATACTCCTGATAATAATAAAACTGACTTATTTAGAAAATACTAGACATTTATATGTCCGGTATTTTTTCAATTTATTTCCTGGACAGAAAGCTCAAATGCCGAACTGTCCGGTTCAAAACCGGACACTTGGCAACTCTACCAGCTCTCAGAGCTTCTAGAATCACAACCCCCTCTCCCCCCGGTGCCCAGTAGCGACAGAGCCAAGCATTCTGCACACCCAAAAATGGGGACATGAAAACAATGTACACAAAAAGGACACTCACGTGCTAAGGATGTTGAGGGAGGTCTCTTTGACAACCTGGCCTTGTGCATCAAACCTGCAGAACAGTCACAAGGCCAGTAGCTGCGATCAGGCTGGGGGGAGACACGAGAGTGACAAGTACAAGTCAAAACTATGAACGTCTCAGAGCTGATTTGGACTGTGAGCCACACTGGACAACACTCCTTAAATTCATATCAAGCAAACTAACTCCCCTCTCCTCTACGTTTGGCTTTAACCGAACATCCCCTTTGAAAGGCAGGGCTGAACTCTCCTTTTGACTGCATCCAGCAGATCCCAGCTCTGCAGAGAATTTTATCTTGTACGAACCTTCCAGCCAGGAAAACAAAAGCTAAGTTTGATGGGAGTCGAGTGGATCTGTGCTCGTGCTAAGTTGAAGGCAGAGATGTTTTATATTTCTCCTTGGTTTGCCCATCCCCTTGCAACTACTTGGGCCTGCATCGGCCCACGGCAAGAAGAGAGCTTGCCCAACGGTGCTGCAGGCCCTTTTTCTCTCATCCAGCTCATTTGGCTCAGCTCAGGGAGGCTGCAGAAAAAGCTTCTTAAAAGTTCCTGATCCAAGCTGGAGGGGGCTTGTCTCTGACACCAGCTACAGTGGAGTCAGCACCTAGAGACCAGAGACACAAAGAGCAGGGAAATCAGAGAAAAGCTGGTCACCCACCTCCCAACCCTAGAACCGTGGTGTCCAACACGCTAGCCGCTAGCCACATGTGGCTGTTTGGCCGGTTCAGTGTGGCTAGTTGGTTTGAACAATGAGGCCAGTTTTCTATAACAGTAGCCACTACAGCCTATCCCCGAGTTACGAATGCGTCGACTTACAACCGTTTGTACTTATGACCAACCTCCCATTAAGCCCATTACAGCTGGTCCCTGAGTTACGAATGCACGATCCGCGCTTACGAACAGTGCGGCCGCATTTAAAAGCATGTATTCCAACTTACGAACAAACCGAGTTACGACCAGGCGTTCGGAATGTAACCCGTTCGTAAGTCAGGAACTACCTGTATAGCGACTACTGCTTCGGATCTGGTTGGACTCCACGGATCTAGAACCTTCTCATGGCAGGAGGCAGACAGCCCCCTATTACATCCACTGTCACTCATCCAAGCACCTTTCCCCTTCCATTTTGGGCTGATTAACCCCGATGTCCTGCTGGGGGCAGCCCCAGTCACCATGGGAAAGCCCTAATTGCTACTGGCATCAGCATATCAAAATGGCTTGTGAGCAATGCTAAGCTAAACCCCCAGCAACCGGGGGTAGCTTGGGGCAAAAATGAAAATAGGCAGAACTAACTGGCACAAAGAGAGGTGTTTGTCCTTCTCCTCTTGCTTAGGCTTGTTTTACACTAGGAGACAGTTGCCTAGTGGACAGAACCCTGGAGTGGGCCAGAGAAGACCCAAGGGTCCCTATCCTGACTCTGCCACTGGGTGACTTTGGGCAAGTCACTTCACCACTCTATGCCTCAGTTTCCCTCTCAGGTTTACTGATGACAGAGCTGGGTAGTAAGAACATCAGTAATGTGTCCCTGGCTTTCCCAGGGTAACTGAGATCAGAGTTTAGCCCCATGTGTTTGCATGCCTCTTATTCCAGGGAGTTCCAAGGCAAAACTAAGCAGGGGGTTACAAAGGCTTTCCTTGTTGACCGATCCGTGTCTTGACTCGCGCGCTGTGCGGACGATCAGCTGAGCCGGCACAGTGCGGTGGCCATTTTTATTTTAATGAAGCCAGGGATATTTAAATCCCCGCTTCATTGACTGTGTTGGGTAGCCTATTTTACATGCCAATGCCAACAGAGGCATGTAGTCTAGACATAGCCTCACAGGCTAATCAATGG